AAGAGCTCCCGCACAGATCTTGCGTGACTCGTCGGCCAGCTGCTTTGGGATCTTCTCCCGGAGTCGCTGGAGGGCCGTCGCCACGCCTTTGAAGAACAAGCTAAGCTTGGCGCTGGGTTGGAGGTGCTCATCGGAAGAGTACCCGAGATCCTCCATCCCCAGCTGCGCCAGCTCCCTGTCGATGGCTGCGGCAACATCCACGAGACCCTCCGTCCAGTGCTCCACATTCTCCCTGAAGGATTTCTGGGCGGCGGTAGCACTCGCCAGCAGCGCCTCGTCGGCCTTGATCTTCTCCGACAAGGCCACCTCCCGCTCCCTGGCGCCGTCCAGCGTCTGAGTCAAAGTAGCCAGCTTCTACTCAAGATCTCCGTTGGAGTCCTTGGCGGCGCTAAGCTCTTTGCTCCTCTCAGCGAGACGACCTTGCAGCTTGCCATGAGCGGCGGCGTCCTTCTCGCGCTCACGCTTGAGCGCAGCAAGCTCCTCGCCGCTCGCCTTGAGATCGGCCTCCAGCTGCGCCATCTTCGTCTCCAGCTCCTTCTTGGCGGCCTCGGCAGCTGCGGCTGCATCCTTTGCTTCCTTGAGAGCCCCGCCAAACGTTTGCTCGCGCGCGGCAAGCTCCTCCTCGTGGCTGTCAAGGTTGACCTTGCGCTGCGCCAACTCGCCTTCCTGCGTAGATAGCTTCTCGGCAACAAGCCGCTGTTTCTCTTCAACTTCAGCCTTCTCGAGGAGGAAGGCTTTCCGCTCCTCGTCGACTTGTTCCCGCTCCTCTGCCAGGGCCCGGAGAGTTTCCTGCCTGAAACCCCGGAGCTCTTTCGCGTGCTTCTCGATATCCACTCCCGCCTTCGCGACAAGCGCTTCTCGGGATACCAGCTTGGCTTGTCGGGCGCGATAGAGCGACAACAGCTTCCGCAGCAGCTGCTCCTCCTCAGGCTCGTCGCTGCTGCTGCTTGGCGCGTCGACCAGCGTCAGCCCAGCGGAGGCGAGCACTTCTCCATCCAACATCTCTCCTTTGACCGGCGCCCTAGAGCTTGACGCCCAGGGGAGCTTGATGAGGATGCCGTCGCCGGCCTTCAAATAGGCGCCGGGCTGGGGCTCTTCGGAGCCTGGCGCTGCAGCAGCGGCGGAGGGATCGGCGGTCAGCGTAGCGCCTGGCGCTCCTGCGGCCTTGGGGCCGTCAGTGCGATCGCCGGATCCCTCGCCAGCTTCTGCGGCGGCAGCCTTGGCGGCCTCTTTGCCGGCGGGACCATCAGCGCCGGCTTATCCTTCGGTGGCAACGGCGTCGTCGGTATTGCTGCGCGCGTTCTCCTCGCCGGCGACCTCGGTTTCCATCGGCTCCGTGGCAGATGGATCTGACGAACGAAAAAAGGAGAAGAATCAAGCAAATATCCAAAAAGAAAATCATCAGAAGAAGAACCCAAGGGAAGTTTTCAAGCAAGAGGATTACCTGTACTAGGACCTGCAGTGGTGGCCTCAACCACCGGAGGGTCGCTGGTGCTGTCCCTTGCCGGAGAACTGTCCCTTGCCGGAGAATTCCCCCTTGCCGGAGAATGCTCCCTTGCCGGAGAATTCTCCCTTGTCGGAGAACGCTCCCTTGCCGGGGAATCCTTCCTTGGCGGTGTAGTTGAAGCAGAAGGCATTCTGGGAGCGGCTTCCGGGCACTCCTGGTGAAGCTGCTCTGCTCCAACACAAACCAAAGTCAGATATCAGCAAAGAAAAAGCACCCATGCGCGCCTAACAGCAGGAAGTAAACTATATACTTACGCTGGCGGTTGCGCTGGGGGCTGCTTTGGGAAATAGTTGCTGGGTCCGGCAAGGTGGTCTCGGACACACCCCCGGCTGTCGCGGTGGGTTCGTTCTCGATGACAATCACCGGGACCTTGGCTCTCTTCGCCGCTCTCTGGGCCAGCGTCCTGAAAAGGAATGGGTTCAGAATGAAGCAAATCAGATACAAGACAAAGCAAGAAAATTGAAGAACTACAAGTACAACAAAGAATCTTACTCTTCTTCTTCCTCGTCGGAGCTGAGCGCGGAGAGATCGAAGTCCGGCTCGCCTCCGGTGCAACGAGGCGGAGGAGTAGGTTCCCTTGTCCGCTTGGCAGGAGCAGTAGCGGTGGACCGGGAAGACCCCGCTCCAGTTGTCACAGCGGCGTGAGGCGCTCCCGCAGCAACACTGCTTGCCGCGGTAGAGCGTGTCGCACGACACGGAGGCTGTTGACTCGTCTGCCGCTCCGCTACGTCTCCGGCCTTGCGGAGACGCCTTCTCGGTGGAGCTGGGGGCTCCGCTTGCGACGAGCTGCCTGAAGGTTCGAGCCCGACAAGCTCTCCCTCGCCGGGCTCGCTCGACTCAGCTTCAGGCCCGACAAGCTCTTCCTCGCTGGCAAGCTCCTCTCGCTCGGCAAGGCTTGCCGCCTCTGCTGCCTCGGCCTCCTCCATGGTGAATCCGAACTCGCCCGCGGCAGCGGCTGCTGCCGCCTCTTCCAGCCTGGTGGCGATGCGCTGCATCTCCGCATCGGTGGTGTCGCGGGTGAGGCTCTTTTGTTCATCGGGGCGGACCGGCACTTCTACCAAGCCATCAAAGAACTCCTGCACGACGTCGTCTGCAGGCTCTTGCCAAGTTGGAACAATTCCATGCGAATCGCACAGCGGCATCATTGCACGGATGCGGTCGAGCGAGGAGTTGTTACACAGTGGAACGACGCCCCTCGGCAGCATGAACGCTTCGGGATGTTGAGGATCGCGCTTCAACAGCTCCAGGATCATCACGTCCAGTTCCAAGACAGTGAAGTTAAAGTTGAGGCCCGGGCGCAGCCTCATGATATCCGCCGCATTCTGGAACTCCCAGGCGGGTCTCCTCCTCTCCTGCAGGGGGGCGATGCGGCGGCGAAGAAAATCTGCGCCAACGGCGCCTACGGTGAGCCCGGCAAGCTTGAGTCGTAGGATATGGGTGACGACAATCCTCAGCCTATCGTCTTCCGGGGCCATGTTGCTCCAATCGTTGCCGCGCGCTATTAGGGCATGGCGCTGGGCGGTAAATGGCTGCGGGTTCTCCTCGACAATCCAGCACCAGTCTGCTCTCCATTCCAACCACTTGCTGCGGAGCTCTCCCTCCAGATAAGCCTCCTTCTTGCCGGTCCTCGAGATCCAGGCGATTCCGCCGGATAAGGGCTCTCCTCTCTCTACTCGGGGCATAAAGAAGTGGCGGAAAAGAGCTACGTTTGGATAGACTCCGACAAAGTTTTCGCAGAGATGTGCGAAAACTGCCATGGTCAGAACAACATTGGGGGTGAAGTCAAGGAGGCGGAACCCGTAGTTGTTCATGATATCGCAGAAAAATTCAGAGAAAGGCGGGCAGAGCCCGCAGTAGAAGAACAGCGCGAAGAAGGGGTATCCATTCGGAGCTAGTTCCGAAGCGGCAGCGGGGAGTACCTTCATGCGCGGGTGCGCTCGCGTCTCCGTCGAACAGAAGAGGTAGTAGTACTCCCTCAGCTCCTTCGCGGCAAGCTGGGGGGGGGGAGATTGCCCGCTCCTTCCGCAGCGCCGCGAGCCGCTGCGCCTCGGCCGACTTCACGACCTTCCCCTTGTCGGCTTTCGGAGCCATGGCGGAGGTGGTGGGGGAGATCGACGGCGTTGGTGATGCTGGTGGCGATGGGGGGCGGAGCGCTGCTCTCTTTCAACTTTGGGAAGAAGGGGAGGGAGCGGCGGAGATTTCTGAGATTGGAGTAGCAACCGGCGAGATGGGCGAACTGCCCCTGTTTCCCCTGCTTATCAAGGGAGAGGGGGCGGGCATTCCGTCTTTTCGAATAAAGAAACCACCCACGATCTCTCCCACGACGCCGCATTCAACGCGTGTCGTTCGAGGAGGGCGCGGTGGATACGGAGTAAGATACGGCGTAACCCAGGCCGTGCGTGCCCGTGCCCTGTTTTGGGCCTGGCCCAACAGCGCTCGGCACCGTGTATGGCCCAGGCCCGGGGGCTCCTGTCGGTGTACTTGAGTAGGAGTACCCTAGTATCCCGAACTTGTGCACGGGCAGTTGCAGCACCCCGCGGCAAGGCTTGCCGGGTGACCGCCAAGGTCCTCCATGGTTCCTTTGGAGCCATTCAAGAACGAAGTATTCAAGCCAAGGAGACAAGACCCCGGCAAGAGGAGCTTGCCGGAAAGGCCAACCAAGGCATCTCAAGGAACTTGCCGCGACGCGCCACGCGTCCCGGCGAGCCCCGGTGAGCGACAAGCTTCCGGACGCGACAAGACAACGACCGCGGCAAGGCACTTGCCGCGGCAGGCTACCACTCTGTACCTACGCTCCAGCACATCCACCAACGTGTCGCCCTGGGGCCTTTCCAGGCGCGCGTGGCAAGAGGCTGTGCGGCCAGCGGTGCGCGGTGGCAAGCGGCGCTGACAAGATTGCCATCGTGGCAAGCGGTGGCGTCCCTGACGGTCCCTTTCTGCACTATTTGGGCGACGTAGACGGGCATTTAATGCCTTTGTCCCTTGCCGTCAGGGTTAGGCATGATACACTGTACAGGTTGTTGTACCAACCGCAACTCCTTTTCCATTTTTACCGCGTTGCCATCTGTCGGTGACCCCTTGAGCATATAAAAGGAGGCCCATGCGCAACGTAGAAGGGGGTTCGGAAGGCAGAAAACACTCACGCTTGGTCTCGTTAACAGAACGTTACGCGTTGTAAGTCAAGATCACTGCAGAATTTTCCTGAAAAATTGCTGCAGAAAATTAGACCTACTCATCAGCATATTGCAGCCATTGTTCTGAGACCGCATCAAGGAGCTGACCACATCAAAGGAAGGAGGATGGAATTCTGAGAATTTTTGCGCCCCTGCCACCAGTTCTTCCTTTTTCAGTCCATCTTAGGAAGTTCGACCACACAGTCATCTATCGCACATAATCTAAATCCTAACTTAAGCTTGGATTCTAATCAGAATTTACTCCAGCTTTTCACTTGAGAAAGAACTCTGCAAACAGCAGAGAGTGCACAGAGAGCTAATTAAAAGCCTGATACGCCCTTGGAGCCGGGGATGTCGATCCACTGGAGCTGGAGCTCGACCTCCCCGCACTCGACGTTCCTCAGCCTGAGCACCACGTCCTGCTTCACCGTGCCCTCGGACAGGTAGATGGCGCTCTGCTCGGCGAGGCAGTTCTGCCGGTTGGGCACCAGCTTCTTCACCACGGTGTTGTCAGCGACGCCCTGCAGCTGGACCCTCATCCTCGCGGCCTCCACCAGCGGGCCGATGTCCAGCTCCGCGTTGCCCATCGGGTCGTCGAAGAATGTGTCCTTGTCGAACACGTCCTGCACAAGAAAGAAGAAGAAGCAATGGGTTGTCAGGCAGCTGTCAGCCAGTTACCACTTCGGCTGCTTGTCTGTACCCCGCGTTTCCAGAATGTTCACCTTCCTTTCCTTTTGTGCAAAGGCATTACATTATTTTTCTTTCTTTCTCTTTTTTTGCAGGGAGAAATTTATTGCGTTTCATGATTCGATTTAGGGAATTTCCCAAAAAATCAGTTGAATTTCTGAAGCACGACAGAGGGAAAAGGGGGAAAGAGAACGGAACACATACCAGTTTGACAGGAATGGTAGGATCTTCGATGGAGAGGGTCAGTTCATCGTTCCACTCCGGATTGATACTCTTCCTTACAACTCGCGTCTTCAGCTTCTGCGAAAAATTAAAGCGGAGGAGAATAATCAGGAGGAGAACACTCCAGAACGGGGACCCCGGAGAGGCGATTAATTCTTTCCAAAAGAGGACTAAAATTCGCGGAATTGACAGGCAGATCGACGGTGCATCTACACAGCGAGAGAAGGAGGAAAGAGAGGAGAGGAGACCGAGACGGAACGAACCTGCTTGCCCATGCGGACGACGACGTAGGGGTCGCTGGAGCGGAGGTCGCGGATGGCGGCGAGGTTCACCCCGCGCGTCACCCGCACCTTCACCAGCCCGACTAGATGCCCCAGCATGGTGCTGCTCCTCCTGCTTCGCGCTCGCGGTGGGTGATGAGAAACAAGAGTAATGGCGACTGACTGGTTGAGTTGCGGTTGCAGGCAGGGGACGGCAGCCGTTCCTTTCTCTCCACCCTCCGCCCCACCCCCCGCTCCTGCTAAATACTACTCCCCAGGATGAGCGGCGCCTGCTATGAGACAACGACAACGAGTGACCAGCTCCACCACCTGGAGCGCGTGGACTGTGCTCCAGTTTTGCTAGTAACGCGTTTTATCTTGCCGGGTGGATTGGCGTGGGTGTCTCCATCGGAAAATACATTCCGTTGGGGGTGAAATAGTACATTTCTTCCCCTCAACCACCACTCCCAAATTCACAGTTGGTGCCCGCACTCCTCTCGTCCAGATTTGGTTGGGCTCACGAGAAACATTCCACTAGAAGCCTAGAGCGATCCTATCAAGATGCAAACTAGGGTGTGGCTTTTGTCGAATTTGTCATCATCAAGAAATAAAAATGGCCACCAATCAATCAATCTGCCGGGAGCGAGTGGAGGACACGGTATTAGCATTTTTCTGAGCTGTCGATGGGCTTTTCAGGCCGATCGATCTGCCCCATCAGGCAAGTTTCAGGAAGGTGAGTTTCGACGTGATTCAAAGTTCGCCGCAGCTGCACGTTCGGTGCGTCTGCGCTCACTCGTTTACATGTCTGCCTTTTTCTGCATGACCGTCGAGTCCGCCTTGACCGCGAGCAGAGCCGTCGAAGCAGCCAGCGACTTCTTCGGTTTGGATGTTATGTTGTGCAATCATGCCATTTTAGAATTGCTTAAGCTTTAAGGACAAGGATACTAGTAGTAGTGTGGAGTAATAAATCGCTAGGCAGGAAAGGAAATAATGAAAAGTAACTTTGGCTGGCAAGCAAAAACCTCATCATTGGGTAGAAACCAAATCGATCCGCTCTCCTCCGACTCCAAGGCAGCAAAAGAGATTGATCGTAATTCTACGGTTGACACGCTCCTACGAGCATCTCAACATTTTTTCCCCTGGATTGGAGAGTTAATCCATAAAGTAGTCTTTTCTCAAAAACTTTATCCATTTAAAATTGAAAGAGTTATCAGTCAAACCGGCTCGCTCCTACCCAAATTTGAGCAGTAGCAGGCAAGTTTCCTCATTTTATCTCTTTCTCACACGTGCATTTCTTCCTTCTCCCACCGTCACAAATGCCACCGCCGCCCTCTGACGCCCCAATCAGCGCTAGAATGGACGCCCGAGTCCTCCCACCCCCGCCATCCCTTGTCCCCATTGACGACAATGCTAGATCCGCCGCTGGCCCCAGAAAAACGATGGCAGGGCACCAAGGTGGCATGGCTCGCAGTGGTGTCCGAAAAGGGAGGCACACGACCGCAACCATCCTTGACCCTTCCTCCGCACTGAGCAACCAACGGGTATGTAGAGGCAGCGCTTGCCCAACGGGCAAGGAAATGGAGGTCGAGGAGACGAAGAAGAAGACCACAACCACTCCAACGCCATATTACCCCTCCCATCGACCATATGCCATCTCATCCACCTTAGGCTACCCCCCTCCTCTACCACCCCCTAAGAAGATGTCGACGACGACGTTCATGCTTGTGAGTTGACATACGCAACACCGGAGAGGTAACCATTTTTTCTTCTTCTAATTTATTGGTGTTGCAATTCAAAACTAGTTCAAGAATCACGTGATGTTCATATATGGTGATGATTTTTGCCACCGTAGCATGCAAAATGAACCGGGTTGTTGGAATTCATGATGGAGTTGGATCATAGCAACACCATTGCCTTCGACGACATTGGCGGGCAGCATGCAATGGATGGGGCCCTAAATACAACTTTGCATCTCTAACGATGACCATCAAATCGCCCGTAAGGCCGTAACTGTCCGAACCACGTGGTGCAGACGTGTTGTCCCATCTAGGGCGGGACTATATTGATCCGCTCGACGGTCCGGACTTACTTTCTCTCGCAAATGGGAGACAAACTAGGGGGGCTTTGCAGATGTCCAGACAGCGGCCTTCTGACCACCCTACCCAACCCAAAACCTCCTCCTTTGCCCGCACGCGTTCCCTCCTGGCGCCAGCTTCCCGCATTCATGCCGCCGTAGAGCGGCTGCTCCGCATTGAAGCTGGCCCAGAGCGGATGCAACCTCTGACTGGCTCCGCCAATGAAGTGGCGCGTCGGCAGAGGGCGTTACCCGCTGCACACTCGGTTGAACACGCCTTCTCGCCGCATTCGAACGCCTCCAGTACACCCACACGTGTGCCAAGAAACCTACTCCGGCCACACATTCGTTCACGAGCGGGTCGGCATTAAACAAAATGTCGAGCAAGCTCCTCCCATCAACCCGCTATTTAAACGAGGCCAGACGCCGGGCAAGAATCAGGCCACAACTCTGCCCCCATCTCCTAGTTGCACCATTTTCTCTACATTGTCTATGCCATCACGCTAGCAGGAAGAGCAGTTCTTCTGCATAAAAGCAGGTTGGATGGTTCACCGAGCCCGCCGGATACGAGCCAGGCAACTCACTGCTCGACCTCCCTCGCCTAGCCTGACGGAGCAAGTTGCCGCCACAAGCCAGCGCGTGGTTTAGCAACTCACTGCTCCAAGCCAGCTCGCGGAGGAGTAGCGAGTTGCTCCAGGCAGGCACGTGGAGGAGCACGGCAGAACGGGCATCGTGGCTTCCATGGACGAGGCCAGACGTCGTGCCATCTGTCGTCAACGTTGGTGGAACCGCCCAGTTGGTGGAGAACTAAGTTGGCTACGCGAAGATCGACGACTCGGTGGCTAGGGCGTCCACGTCCGCCGTCAACATTGAGGAAAAGTAGAACATGGGATGCCGCCGCCGCTTGGGTCCTAGGAGAGCCACTGCCGGCGCGTTGCCGGCTTGCACAACCGGTGACTTGCCCGTTTAGCATAGACTTGAGCCCCGCCTTGGCTTCACGGAAACGGAGGAGCCCCCCTTCACCTCCGGTTGAAGATATAGGGAACCGCCGCAGCCGGCTGTAGACTAGTGTAGTGTATCCGTGTCGTGGGAATGGAGCTCCGCGCGGCGGGACGTGCACATAATATTGCCATTTTGTTAAAATGTGTACAAAATGTATATGTTTTCATTTGGTTTGTATGAAATCCACTGTGTTTGCATGAATTTCATCCGATTTGTTTAAAAGATGTTTAAAATGTATGCGGGTAGTATTGGTTGGTTGGCTCCGGCATCCATGTCCGCAGGCTGATGCCTGAGCAATTTGCGGGTCAGCGGTGGAGATGCCCTTACCCACTCCTCAGCAAGTACTCTCTCTATTTTTATTTGTCCGCGTATTAGTTTTGGTCAAAATCAAGCTTTGTAAACTTTAACAAAGCTTATAAACAAAAATATTAACATATACAATAAAAAATTAATATCATTAGATTCATTACTAAATGTACTTTCACATCATGTAGATTTGTTATGGTAAATGTTCATGTTTTTTTTCTATAAACTTGATCAAACTTTTCAAATGTTGACTTCAGTCAAATCTAATATACAGAATAAAAAAAATAAAGGGAGCACAACTTCTACCCACTCCTCAGCAATAGATCCCACGGACCAAAGAAAGATCCAACGAACGTTTGGTTGCTGCTGTGATGCAGGTTTGATCCGGTCGCTGACCGTCTTGAGGCGGGCAGCGGGCAGTGGATGGAGCAGTAATAAATGGACGACAGACGTTTGTGTGTGGTCTAGCTGTGAGTTTCTTTTTTTTTTGTTGGTGTGGCCTAGCTGTGAGTTGAGGCGGCTGGAGCAAAGGTGGGAGGGATCCACACGTGGCTGCAGCACGCATGTGGCCGGCCGGCCGGCTCGAAAGAGTAGAAGGAGAGCTGACTGTTTCCAACCTTTCCCGGTCTATGCTGTCTCCACGGCCACGGGGACGGGGTGGTTGGCTGGCACTGGCATTGAGCAGGAGCTATCGCGTTCTCGCCGGAAGCTGTACGGCACTGCCAAGATGAAGCATCAGAATGGATAGGTTGCGCCGGCCGATATCTCGAATCTCGCAAGGGCGATGATGCATCATCTTCGAGGGAATTGTCACTAAGAGCAACCCAACGGACCGATCCAAACGAACGGCGATTTCGTCCGCTTTTTATTCATTTGGGTCGGCCGCCCGCCCGGTGTCCGTCTTGTTTTTAATATGGATCGACAGCGCGCACAACGCGCCGACCCATATGTGCAGGCGTAGCCGGCTGGCCGCCCAATTTTGCATTGCATTATTGTGAAATGAAAATTTTAAATAAACAAAATAGTCCGACCAAATAAATAGTATGGTTTTGCATGCCAAATAAAAATAAAAATGTTTCACATAGTTTTACGAACGAATAAAAGTAGACACATCTATTGGTTGCCAACATGAGTTCACATATGCTCAACCAAATCATTTTGTAGTTGCACGTGAGTTTCTCAATCACGCATGTCTTCATGAAACTGAGTGAACTGCTCAAATGTTGCCGCTACTCCATGCTCAAGCACAACATTCTCACCCTGAAACTGAAAGCCTTTATCGTACAGACGTTCCGGGCGCTCGTCTTCTACGATCATATTGTGCATGATCACACAAGCAGTCATCACCTCCCATAGTTTCTGCGTGCTCCAAGTATTAGCAGGATACTGAACGATGCCCCATCGAGATTGCAAAACACCAAAGGCACGCTGGACATCCTTTCTAGCACTCTCTTGCTCTTGGACAAATCTTTTACTTTTCTCTCCAACAGGGTCGGGTATTGTCTTTACAATAGTGGTCCACTGAGGATAGATACCGTTACCCAAATAGTACCCTTTGTCGTAGTTGTGGCCACTGACAGTAAAGTTCACCGGTGGGCTGTTGCCTTCGGCAAGCCTAGCAAACACCGGCGAGCGCTGAAGCACGTTGATATCATTGTGTGATCCGGCCATGCCAAAGAAAGAGTGTCAGATCCAGAGATCTTGAGACGCCACGGCCTCTAGTATGACAGTGCAAGCCCTGACATGTCCCTTATACTGCCCTTGCCAAGCAGAAGGGCAATTCTTCCACTCCCAATGCATGCAGTCTATGCTGCCAAGCATCCCCGGGAAGCCCCTGCTAGCATTCATCGCCAACAAACGGGTTGTATCTGCAGTTGTCGGCTCTCTCAAGTACTCAGGGCCAAACACAGCAATCACAGCCTTGCAGAACTTATACAGGGACTCTAGGCATGTAGACTCGCTCATACGGACGTACTCGTCAATGAGATCACCGGCCACTCCGTATGCAAGCATTCGGATGGCAGCATGCATTTCTAATAAAAGGAGAAACCAATCTTGCCGACAGCATCCTCTTTGCACTCGAAGTAGTCATCATAGCCGACCACTCCCTCTCTAATACGGTTGAAAACATGCCTACTCATACGGAACCGGCGGCGGAATTTGTGATGTTTGAACAACAGGTTTGTTGTATCAAAGTAGTCCTTCCAGAGAAGGAAATGCCCGCTCTCTCGGTTATGATTCAACACCGGAAGGTGGCCCGGAATGGAGCCACGGAACAACGGGCGCTGGTTGTTGAGGTGGTGATGGACCAACACGGCAGCCAATATCTCCTCCTCGTCGTCGGACGACGAATCGTCAAAGTCGCAAATGAAATTGTGGAAAAAGAACTCGTCGGCGGAGTCCATTTTCGTACCTTGGCAAACTGTCGAACAGCTTGCGGGCGTCGAAGAAGAAGACGGCCGGCGAGGGGAGACCCGACGCCCACAGACCAGCTAGCTGCCCGGCCGGCGTCCGACGAGTGTGACGGCGTCCGACGAGCGTGCCGGTCGTATGTGGCGGGGGCGGCGAGGCGTCTTCTTGGTCGCGGGCAGCTGTGCGGTGGGGGAAGAGGCGATGGGAACTAGTTTGCTCCCCGGCGGCGGCGGGCGACTGGGGACAGGGGCGGTGTTGCTGGGCGGATGTGGAGGCGGCGGCAGCTGGAAGAGTCGCCGAAAAATGGGCGGCGGCGTCGGTGACGGAGGAGGCGGGGGGCGAGGGTTGCTTGTTGGCCGGGGGGAGGGAGGCCAATGTGCCACAGAACAGCGGGCCCGGGGACAGGAGCAGGCGACCGCGCGCGCGTCCGTCACGTGTCTGCGCCAACGCAAATCGGACTCAAAAATGGGCCAGGAATGGGTCGTCCGCGGACGAAAAACGGACGCGCGTCCGTTTGGGTCGGCGCGTTGGGCCGCCTTTTCTGTCCGCGCCGACCCAAACGGACAGGCGTGGACGAAATGGGTCGCCCATTTGGAGTTGCTCTAATGTGTCCTTCCTAAACACACAAAAAGTTGACACTGGGTTGATGAGGATATATGTATAGTAACACTGCTGGCCCACCCTGGCTAAATGGGCTAGGTCCGCCACTCTAAAGTATTGATTCTTTTTTGAAAATTACTGAAGTTGTGATTTAAAAGATCTTATATTAGTTTACGGAGGGAGTGTATATCAAGATCTTATATTAGTTTACGGAGAGAGTGTATATCAAGATCTTATATTAGTTTACGGAGGGGGTATATTTCAAAAGACCCTCGCATTTTTAGTACTATCATAAATTTTGGTCCATGCGAAAAAAAAAGGGTCAAAAGCCTGAGAAACATTTATGAGTGTCCTTTGGACGCTTGCTTTCAATAAGTGGGGCTCGTTTTCTGAGCCAGTCCGCGGGTTGCCTCAAAAAAAAAAAAACTGGATGACTTTCGGCAGCGACGCGAGCAATGACGTCGGTGATATCCCTTCTTTCATCAGTCGTACTCGCATCTGCATAGACTTCGGCACAGTTCAACCAACAGCAGCAAAGGGAAGCAAATAAAAGAAACGGAGATGACATTTGCAACTGTATATATATTTTCATGTGCTTTTTTACAATATGGAGTATGTTACTCCCTCCGTTCCAAAAAGTGTCGTGGTTTTAGCAGCAAAGGGAAACAAATAAAAGAAACCAAGATGAAATTAACTAACGGAGGGAGTATATACTTGCACATGCAGCTCATCCGCAGAGAGACACGGGCAAAATGTAGGAGGACCAGTATAATTTACAGAAAATTGAAAGTAACAAGAATACTTGGCTTGGGTTGATGTAGGCTACTAGAGTAGCTTTTTATACTTTATCTTTTGGCGCTTCGAACTAGTCCTCCAAGTTCTTCATATATTCTTTCGACAAGTTCGAATTCATCACGAATGCTTGCTCTTCTACCAGAGAGTTCCCTGACTGAATCAGTGCATCCAGTGTTGGCTGATGAGAACATAAATCGCACCAGGGTGTTAGACAGAGATTGGTTTCTCAATAGAGGAATGAACAGCCATCCAACCACGGTGATATTGAAAGAACTGACACGATAATGGCACAAAAAAAATCCTGTTGGTGCATTGCTTGATATGAAATGTAAATACCTTCGGAGGGATAAATGTCGGAAGCTTCTCTCTGTTCTTCCGCTTGAGAAGCTTTTCACCTAGTTGCTCATAACCACCAATGTCATTTACCCACTGCAACACAATGGGGAAAATGAAAAATATTATTTAGCCATTTCTTGAGAACAGTTTCAAAGCATGATATATCATTTAATTAGGTAGTTTCTGAAGAATATTTTCAGAAGATACACCAAATGCACATTTGGAGATGCCATCTCGAAATGCTTCTGTTGTTGCATACCCAACATGACTCTCGTCTACTTCAATGAAAAACAAGTATGTGCATCAACTCCAATAAATGGGAGCATGATCTGCAGCCTGAAACTATATAAAGACAACCCTTTTGCACACAGACAACAGGAGGTGGAAACATTTTCTAAAATCGATTATAAGAATATTACAATGGATCTCTTCATATTATTAGAACTCATACCAGATGCCCTAAATCAAAATAAGTACCTGCAAGATAGCCTGGTCATATGTCCTGGATCTCAAAGCTCCATAAAAGTCGAGAGCTGCAACAAGTTTAAGTCGTACTTGAATAAGTTTTTCAAATGTAGAAGCGAAAATATGTACAAACTTCCCACAGAGAGAAAGAATAGCGAAGCTAGGTGAAACGCAATTTCAACCAATAACTAAAGACACAACTCACACAACGTAACAGAACTTAAAAAGGAGAAGGGGGTATTTTTTTCAGAGAATAATAGTTCTGCTATAATCTAGACTAGTGGATCATCATAACAAAACGTAATTGCTCGTTGTACTGATTCTAGACTGATTATCAGGGCCACTCTGCAACCTATTTTTTTTTGTGATATAAGCGAATCACATGATTCATAAGTACCAAAATCTTTCTCCTTCCCTTGTATGCTCACATCCCATGGCTATGACAACATAAGAAAATAACCATTTTTCCCAAAGACGCCCAATTTACAAGTTTTTTTAAAACAACAGAAATTATTGCTACGGCTATTAATCTGCATTAAAGAACTGAAGAGTAATCATTCTTATGTATATGTGAAAAATAATTTCGCTTATCAAGCCCTAACTTATATGTTAGCAAACAACAAGGCAAATATTTGAAGCACAAAATAACGTGGGTGACCTTAGCACTGCATATTCCACTACCAGATAAGCCTCATATGCTGCAAACTAGAAGTTACAGTTTTGGTGAAACGAGTACCTTGATTTGGAAATGTATCTACAATGCTTGAAACTTCCTCAAAAGATAACCCATCCTTTGTATACATACGGTGAACAATGTTAATTATATCTTCACGGGTGGGCTGCCTGTTAAGCACAAATGATCAGACATCAAGTACCAAGGTTCAAAATATCCCTAGTTGGTGCATGGAAGTAGCATGAAACTACATATAATTAACAGAAAGACTGAAAGAATATCAAATCGGTGGTAATCTTCAAACCAAGACAATCTCTGAAGTAGAGAATTGAATAAAGAAACAATTTACTTTTTGTAGTGTCAAGTAATGCCAAGAAGAACATAGCCTACGTGGGCGATAGTACACAAAGTTATAACGAAAATGAAATAGCGCAGTTCAAAATTTTCAGTTTGTCAACAAGATTGCTTCAGATGCAGGGACAAACATACCAGTAGAACTTTTCCATCCTCCCATCACGAATCAAAGGAGCATATAGTGTTGAAAAATCATTTCCAGTTGCTATTATTGGAATTCTATGTGTTATATCAGATTCTCTCCATTTCTGCCCGATACTAACCCTGTTAGGATTATCTGCCAAGTTCATCAATGTTCCAACCACGATTTGATTATTGACCGTCATTTGTGTGTGTCCTGGCAACAACAGTAACATATAGTAAGTAAGGTTTTTCCTACTATAAATGTTGATATGTTTGAAAGATAAACTCTAATATTAATCAATCACATACAAATAAGGTTTATTTTTGCAAAAAAAGAACTTTGCACACAAAGAATAAATCAAGTATCATAGCTCCTGATGAAAAATCATAATAATAGACATCCAGGCTCGGCATAATCAACAATCCCATCAAAGTATGCTCAATAAATGGCTTACCAAATCTTCCAAGACCAGCATCTAGGTCATTGATCATCAGACAGCTCATTTTCCCCTATACCATCAAAAACTTGTGAAACATGATCTTGTAAGGAAAAAAATATCACAAGAATCATTGGAAACATTAGCGTAATAATTCGGTAGTGGTACAGAAGAGTAAATCACTACGGAGCACGTGAGATTCTCAGCAGAAGTAAGCCTCAAGCCATGGAAACATTTTTATCATCGCAAGATATAAACACATTGAAGTAGACGATGGAACACTTTATTATTAAGATGATAAAAGAGTAACAAGTACCATCTTTGGTAGTTCAGGGCCTTTTCACTATCACAACAATCTTGGGCTAGCAGTTTTTATCTAAATAGTTTTTATTATTTCAATACGGGGAATCACTGGGTAGCTCAATAGTAGGACACACGATGGTGCTACCAAGCAACCCAAGACTGAATCCCACCTTCCTCATAAGAATATGTTGGGGGTGCTAGTGCCCCTGGGCCTCTTCTTTTTTCTAGTTTGGACTAAACGTCAACATATGTAAATGATCAACTACTGTATGTTGATGCATAAGTTTACAAATTTTAAAAATACTGTTCTCTTGCATGCTCACTAGTCACATCTCAGAAAACTGAATCTGAAAGCAGGTTATGAAATTGAGTAGCTGAATACACCTTCTTACTTGGTTTTGAACTACTTGAGAGGCCGTTCTGTATCGATCACGTATAAGCCTTCCAGGTTCTCCTGCAATACGAGCAGAAAAAAAATCTGAGCAACTAACCATCCCCTATCATAACTACCATAACTGCAAAAGAGCAAGCAATTCCTATTTTGTCTATGGACTAGATCTGGCAGAACATAGTAGTAACTTGACTTTGGAGCAGACTTTAGGAACTGATAATTCCTTTCATAACTAATATAAGCAGACCTTTCATTGAGCAAGGTCAAACATAACCAATCTGAACAGACATGCTAGTTTTTTTTTTCTGAAAATAAGCAAGAAACTCGATTGCAAATTCGTCCCAGGCTGGCTTTCAGCACTAGAAAGTGCCCCAAGCACTAAGGTGGGTCTCAGTTTTTAATCTGAACACTAGCAATCTGGGAAACATAAACATATGGCAGAGTAAATAAAGCATACAAGCATAAAATAGTTCCGCTGTTTCTTGACCTGCTCTCTCAGATTCGAGTTCTCCAGCAGACATAATAACAGGCTCAACACCCATTGCTTTAAATATAAGTTCAGTCTGGAATGTTTTCCCTTGCCCCTTGCCACCCCAGACACCTGCATGGCGCAATATTGCTCAAGATCATTAAATGGTAAAGCATGACACTGAATCACACTACACGTTTGTTTTTTCATATTACAATCACGCACACAGAAACAAAAGAAGTAGAGTATGCTACCAAGTATAAGGGGAATCTTGATATTAAGATTATTTGCAAGGAAGTTCTTTACAATGTGGACCGCTGCAAACAATAAACAGTCCTTTAGAATATGTACCTGCAGAAAAAGATAAAAAAGAAGTGTTAAGCACACTTCGGCCACTTCTGAAAGCTGTACGAAATACTGTCACTCGACTCTTGAAATATCATGCAAAAGTCAAAATTGGATGCTTCATTGTTTTGGGGCTTTTAAACATTTACCTCTCAGGGGCCTAGATATTAAGTAGGATGAGGTTAGCAGTCACTACTACTGTACATGTACGATTTGGTGATATTCATCCGCTGTGCACATCGTATGCCATTGTTTTACAGTTCAACTAAAACACATCTAGCCTAGTGAGTTGATTACTGTATGTTATCATTCATAGATACCAATAAAGGTACATTCGGTTATCGCCACACCCTTGCATAAAAGCATACTGAAACGGCTGTGTAAAGTTGGTAACCAGACTCTCTCCCCAAAAAAGAAGTTAGTAACCAGACCATTGGCAGATTTGAACTGTTGAGTTTCATGTCTACTATAAGGATACTAGAATACACATTGTATATGTAGATTCAGATTCAAATGCAATGCATTTTGTGAAATGCTGAGATTATAATACCTGATTATAAGAATGCTGACTTCCTTATACATTAAACTGCTTACCAACTTTATCCTGTAACACAACGAATCTGCAGTGTCAAATCTCCAACAATCAGATGCTGACATAACAGTACGGATGAGGATGATTTAAGAAAACCAGAGCAGCTGTATATGAATTAAAAACAAACTCACGAGGAAGGCAGGCGCGATGTAGTAATCTCCCTGCAGATACTCAAATTTCCTCGTCGCCTTCTGGCGGTAATCGAACACAATATCCGCTGCACATTTCACAAGGAATTTGTCAACAACAAAAAAAGAACATCTCAGATTCTTCAATTCCATTCGTTATTTTGCTCACCGCTGAACTACACAGAAATGTACTGTTCTGAATTATGACAAGTTATCACAGATAGCTCTATCAAATACCAATGGGGCACTGGAGAGCGTACAGTCTCTTCCGAGGAATTTGCCGACGAAGAGGTCGTCGACGATGCCGCTGCGGGCGCCGACGGCGATGTTCATGTTGTCGGCCTCCTTCCCGAGGCGGTAGAGGTAGTCGTCGCCCTGACCATCCGTGGCCTCCCACGAGGACTGCTTCGAAAGCCTCCTCCCGCGCCCCTCTTCCCCATCCTCCGCCTCCTCCTCGCCGCCGGCCGTGGGCTGGGGAGAAGCAGAGGAGGAGGAGGAGCAGAGAACGGACGGGAAGGCGGGGCAGATGCGTCTTCGGTTGGGGGTTCTGTGGTTGAAGCAGCCGGGGCTGGGGAGAGCGGGGAGGAGGATGTGGTGGCGGTGGCAGCGCGAAGCGGCGGCGAGGGAGGTGGCGGCCATGGCGGGGAACGCTGCGCCGCGTGTGTGATCGGGGGCTATTTGCGGGTGGCCCCGTACGGCGAGGGCAGCTGGGGCCTTATCGGCAACGGTCGCTCAGGAATACGTCAGTAAATCCTGAACGCTCGGATTTTAAGATGTCATCCTGAGCGTTTTTTTATGGCAACTTAGTTGATGTAAGATGGCAAGTTTAGTTATTAAGACATGGCAATTTTGTTTCTGTCTGTTTTTTTTTCAAAAAATTACTATGTTTGACAACCTCGTTTGAATTAAAGTTACCATAAAAATGTTCGGGTTGTCATGCTTAAAATCCGAACGTTCGAAATTTATCATTTCTGAATGATTATACTGTGGACCCTACTTAGTAGACCTGAACGAATACTTATACTAGGTAATCACACATACAATTCCTTTTCTAGCGGATGAAGCACATGCGTTACTAGTGATTACATGCATGCATGCATAAAAGACAAAATAGATGATGTCAGCAAAGATTCTTTCTATTTTGAAACTTTAAAATATTTGGTAGCTCAAACCATCGCTCCAATTCAAAATCTGTTTTCACGTAAAAAATTCATCGCGACTAGATCTTTGAAACTAGATTGTTTCGACAAACTCTATTTTTCAGATCAAAAGTTACCATGACATTAGTACGTGAACTATCACACCTGCAATACGTACTTACCATGGTGTTTAGACTGAAGTTATCGAGCTATGTTTCAACTTTTTCTTGTGCGTCAAAAGTTACCACAATATTTGTAAGTAATTATTAGGTCAGCAATACGCCACCGTCTACAACCGGGTGTCATGCTTGGGCCGTGAGGTGAGATCCAAGTGCCGACATGACATGAACCGCTTATAAACGAGACTTTGCGGGTCGTGGCAAGCCAGACCTGTTTAGGCGTGTGTCGTATCGTGCCGTGCCTGGGTCTGCATATTGGCCACCTATGATCAGGTTTCTGGTGCAGTAAAATAACATGCGACTTTATGATCAGATTATTCATTAATATTATTTGAGTCTTCTTTGAACCCTTTTATGCATGATTATTATTGCTTTGCATTTCTCTCTGATCTATTGATTTGGATTGACCAAATAGATTGATTTTTTCTTGCAATAGGAGATGTGCTTTGTAATGTGTTCAATATTGCGGTGATCTATATTCCAATGACAGAAAGGGACAAGACATGTATTTGTATTTTTTTAGGGAAAGGAACTTTCATTAATCAAACTAGGTGATTACAATCAGATATTACAATGCTAGTATCTCAACAGGTGCGTTACGAAGCCAACATGCAGTTCGTTGTTGCGAACTACCCATACCTGCAAGGGTGTGGCTGGCCGCATTTGCATGTCGACTAATCTTAGCTAGATTTACGTTCCTTCCGTGAGTCAGCATCTTTCTGATCTCACTAATACGATGTGTATACCTGGACTTATTGATGCCACTCGCACAGATGATCTACAACATTTCATCGCAGTCTGTCTCCACAATCAAAGGGACATGTATTTGTATTGTTGCCATTAAAAATAAAAAGATGGAGTTTATTCATGCGTGAGTTTACTTTGTATACATCATGTCATCTTACTTAAGGCGTTACTCCGTTCTTTATGAACATAATACTTTAGATGAATGCTGGATAGCAGTTGATGTGTGGAGTAATAGTAGTAGATGCAGACAAGAGTGGGTCTACTTATCTCGGACGTGATGTCTATATACATGATCATTGCCTTGGATATCGTCATGATTATTTGATTTTCTATCAATTGCCCAACGGTAATTTATTTACCTACCGTATGTTATTTTCAAGAGAGAAACCGCTAGTGAAAATTATGGCCCCCGGGTCTTACTTTTATCATTATTAAAATCAAAAGCACTTTGCTGCAATTTATTTTATTTTGTATTTTATTTATCTATCTATCACTACGAGATTTGATCTTTGCAATTAACCGTCGAGGGATTGACAACGCCTTGTTTGCATTGGGTGCAAGTATTTGTTATTTTGTGTGTAGTTACTACTAAAGAAGTGTTGCTTGGTTCTTCTACTGGATTGATAACCTTGGTTCTTAACTGAGGGAAATACTTGTCTCTACTATACTGCATCATCCTCTCCTCTTCAGGGAAATCCCAACGCAGCTCACAAGTAGCATACTCCGGAAAGTTATGTGATATAGACGGTTGCAATAGTGAGAAGAGCACCTTTTAACTTGATATTTTCAGTGAGAGATCACCCTAATAATTGACTCATGCGCAATCAAAGGGTTAAAGAAAATGATAAACATCTCAGGCAATTCATAATAGCCGGATGTGGTATAGCCCTGGGCACCGACAAGTCTTCATGGTTCTCTTGAATCTTCAGTCGAAACATCGCCATGGCGGCAGAAAAATCGTTGTCGTGCCAGCCATTTAAAAAACATTGCCGTGGCGGCAATTTCAGAAAATGTTGTCGTGGCGATCGTTTCAAAAACGATGTCGTGGCACCAATTTCAGGAAACACTGTCGTGGCACTAAAAATTTCAGCCCCTCCTCCTATGCCTGGTACACCTTCTCCAAACCGAGGTCCTCCGTGTACACTTGCCACCATCACCTGTAACTTGTAGGCTATATCTACATCTATTACATTAACGTGGAAATCCCGTGGCTCCAACCATCATGCCGTGACGCGAAAGCCACTTAACATTACAACATATAACCATCTCATACATAAACTCATTATCATAATGAAGGTTATACCACATCACATGCAAACCTGCAAAACCAAGTTAGACGTTCTTTAATTGATTTTAGCAAATTTTAATTACATAGCTTCCAGGGTTTCCGGATAACACTAGCTACCTATGTCCACCATCAAGGTGATAATTCTTGTTGCTAGATTAACTTTCGAGGTGTGTGAGGTAAGAGGCTTAATTAAAATCTCCAGCCCCACACTAAACTTCGTAAAATACTCATGACCCCCTAGAAGACCGTTCATCTTCATCGCCCTCTTTTATTTGCAATGGTTCACTATTCTTGACTATGATGAAGCCCAAAGAACTGTTAGCAGATCGTCGATAGCCAGAGCCGATTAATTCTCAGAGCTTTGTATACATCATGTTGTCAATGAACTGAACCAAAGCAACACTCGAGGGAAGAATAGAAAGAATATCAAACCCCCACGTCAACATGTGAAAAAGATCAAAACCTTCATCTACTCATAGAACCACTCATGATGCCACTATTGAGAAATGTAGTAGAAAATAAAAAGGTTACCCTATGATCACCCAGGAACAATATGAAGATACATTAACGGTTGGAATCACGATCGTTACCGACTCCAAGTTGTAGCAGAAGTAGACAAGTCAGTGTAAATCGTACTTGAAGTCTCTCAAACCGTAGATAAATGATCCCTCGAACTACCCACGAACAACTCCTTGAATCGAACACCGAAAGCACGGCCTCTTCACATATTGCAAGCATACGGTCTTCACAATACGGTAGCGCTTAGTGTTCCAGAGCTAATTGTCGCTGGAGAATTAGAGGGAGAAGATTAGAACCATACTAGGCTTATAATTATGAGGATTAAAGGATCTAGGTCAATCTCTAATTGATCAACTAGGACCAACTAGAACTAGATCTAGAGAATTAGAGGAGGCTCTAAAACCCGTGTGTTCAAAAGCACCAAAGCCTCTAGTATATATAGGTTGGTGGGAGGGGGAGGGGTGCCACAAAAGGTGGGAAAGGACCCCCCTTGTACTGGCCTAGGAGAGTAGGAGTGGAGGAGGTGTCCTCCCCCCTCTCCAGTTCGGCCTCCCTACAAGGAAAAGGGGGTGCCTTCCCTACATGGGCCTTGGTGGCCCAATTCTCCTTCCACCACTTGGACTTTAGGGCCCGTTGATATTAAATTAAATATAAAGGCCTCCTAAAAATTGTTGAAGTCTTTTATTATTAATTTAGTATCACCAGAAAATTTTTCCACCTATATATTATTTATGGATAATCCAGTATTGCCCGATGAACTCTAAAACCCTTTCGGTGACCCTAAAACGCTTCCGCTTCCTCTTGAAACTATTTCGAATATTAGTGAAACAATTCCCCAAATAAATCCTTGATACTCTCGTCCTACTAACACTCAGTAGATCATTCTTAGCTTAAGCTTGTGACTATGTAGGTTCGGTAAAAACATAGACATGAACAAAACCCCTTCGTCCAGTGACTGATAGTGGAACCATGGACGTCCATATCGATGTCTATGATTACACGAATGACATTCAAGTGAAACTTTTGTTATAATGTGATGTTCCCATTTCTTCATGATATTTTACAAAACCCGAGGTGAGATGTGTCATTATCCTCCTCAGTCATAGACCTGCTCACTATACCGGTCTCCTTGTTGCCGGTTTTGTTCTTATTTCTCGTTGACATGTTCCTGAATCCTCGTGATGTAGTCACTTATGTCTGGCCAGACGATGATGTATGTCTTCGCACCGAGAGGGCCCTAAGAATACCTCTCCATCGTCAGAGAAGCAAAATCCACTCTCGAGCTACCGATTCTCTTGCCAAACTTTTTGATGAACCTGTAAGTTATCATTATGAGCACCGTCTTACAGATGATGTTTGAGAAACCCCAAAGCTCATAGTATGGTAAGAAGTGACTCCGATACTCTCATGGTATAAGGAACTAAAACACACGCTAACACTCATGTTATAACAATTGATTTGTGATGATATCATCTCAAAGTATAACAAAACAAGTTTGGGTCGATTCAATATATATGATCATTCTTCTAACATCATACTCTCAATGTTGTTTTAGGACTATCATTACACTGAATGATATTTCTAAGATCCGGAAAACATGATCACTAACAACACTTGTGCCAGTCTTAGAGGCGAGATTGGGAATCTTATTTTGTTGTGTATTGTTCTACAGCGCATGTGAGTTTTCCACTGGATCAAATATTCCAGGATCACAACAATTATAGCATAGAATATAAAATCTTAATTATGAACATGGAAATATAATAA